CAGTCTTGGAACACCGATAAGAATCGGRCGGCCTATGATGAATTTCTCACTATGTAGAGAATATACGGTGACAACACTCCCGTATCTTTCAATGGCACAATATTGACGAAAAAAATCTCGGCAGTTTGGTAGTTCAGAATTTAACACCAGAGTACGCCACCCTTCGCTCGAAGGCCGACTTTTATACGAGTCGTAATGGAGATTTACATTTAAATTTTATTTAAATGTATTAATTGCTGTTCAAATATCAATAATCCGCATGTCAACTTAATATATTTTATGTCATATTGTATAGATTATTAAAACATACTAATGTTTTGGAATCATGTACCAATTATTATGTAAAAATTGTAATAATATTATATGTTATGTACCTACTATGTAGCCATATCGTACAAATGTATTGATTTAAATAAAATGCATAATTATTGTATGATATTTATATGATTATTTATTCATTGACATATATATTACATACAAAAATGGAATTAGTAATACCCACAAACAATAAGTATAAGGTACGAGTTTAAAGAGTTAATAAAAGCTCAAATAGACTACTAGGTACCTACAGACCCAAGTACACCAAAATAAAAAAATCATAATTTATTATATTTATATAGATACCTATATGATATATAATAACAAAAAAAAATTAAATATTAAGCATGATGTAGAGAAGATATAATATATACAATAGAGAATAGAATATATTCCAGTTAAAATAATAATATAAACCTAATAATAATACTTATAAATTGATAATATTCTATTTTTAATTTTCCTAATTGTTTGTATTTACACATGTATCACTTAATGGTTTGTACTGTTTGTAGATTGTTAAATAATATTTTGTATATTGTGGTTTTTTAATTTGTTAATAAAAAATGCCTAACAAATGTTTTGTGCCAGATGCTTTTACTGTATTAAGTGGTTATGTTGCAAGGAAGATGAGAAGAGTAAAACCTGCCAAATGTTGTCAGGAATGTTATACCATTGAGTATAGATAATATATACTATCTATGCTCAATGGTTATACCATGTTGTGTGCCCCATATGATCATGAAGTATTAAATAGAGAAAGATTACTAGAACTGAAAACTCGTGGTTATTTACTTGTACCATCTAAAGAACTTAATGAAATTATTTACCAAGTAATCAAATAATATAATATATAAATATGCAAACAATTTGCATAATATGTACAATATATTTGTATATTCACTAATAATAATCACCTTTATTATTTGTTTTAGCTCGAAGATGTCATTTGCTCAATTATTGTAAAAAATAAAATACAAAAAAATGTATTATTTTTAATATTAAATGAGCTGAGGACTGACAAGTTTAATATTAACTTAACCGGTGTGATGAATAAAAATGTATTAACCAAAAACATTATTATGTTTTATTTACAATCAAGAATGTTTTTTGTATGTGATGCAGAAAACGCAAAACTAGAAAAAAATAAAAAACAAAAAAATTTAGCAAAGCAGTCAAAACTCTTGTAATTGTGTACATAACATTGTTAAAATATATAGGTAACAATATATAATAAAACTTCCTTAATCGAAACTATTTTAAATGTTACCTAATTTAATAGAATAATTACTTTAAAATAATTCTTGCGTGGTTATTGTTTAAAATTTTGAAGTAATAATATAAAAAACGACAAAAATGTTTATAATTTTTGATATTTTACATTAAAAACAATATAAAAACCGGCCTTCGGGCGAATGGTGGCGCAACCTGCCGGAGACACCAAACTGCCGAGATAATTTGCGACCGGAATATTTACAAGTGGTGTCACCTTATCTTCTATACATCTTGAAATTTCTTTATTATCCATGATTTTATCTACCAATACGTGATAAGACCGTATACCAGGAATCAGTAACCAGTAGGTACTATAGTTTGTTACCATGATGGTAAATTGTAAAATGTTATTTTTATACTTTATAGCTGATACAGTCGCGCTGCTGCTGGCTAGAGGTTCAATGATACTCGGTATTAATAGATTCTTTCAATTTGTTATAATAATGTTATTTTTTCGATTCAATAAAATTAATCTACATTTGAGGAATCATCACTACCTACCCAATAAATAATAAGAACGCATTCCTTCATTATTCATTTGTTCCATAATCGTAGAGATAGTACTACGACGCCAAATATAGCTGTCATGAGTACTACCAGGGTACCTACTTAGCATTTACATTAATTATACACATATTTGAATCGCATATCTAGTAATAATCAAAGTATATTTAGGAAATAGGATAACATGATTTATTATTTGTAATCGCTTTACCAGTTGCACATTTATGGAATGGTAATTTTTCCTGTTCACATATATATGTTCCGGGTAAGGCCCATCTGCTTTAGGGGGTACTATTGCAATGTAAGTGCAATCAATAATACCAATTACTCCCGGGATTCCATAAACATTGGTGAACCTTATTGTATATTAACAGTGTAGCAGTGATTATTTATAATATATAAGTAGGTATAAAATATTATAACATAATATAATGTTAACTTACTCCTGTCTAATATGATTTAATTCATACAATGTCGATGGAAACCTTACGTAGGTACTTATTAAATATATTAGGCATATTCAATGCATCAAATACTTCGGTTATGCATTTACTAACTGAAGGTTGACTCAGAGATGAAGCTCGATTTTCCCCAATGTCCTGCTGATAAGAGCCATTTGCAAAAAATCGTAAAGCCGTTAAAACCTTAATAGTGTAACACACATTTAACATATTACGCAGGTATGCTCTAGGCTATGTAATATATTATTTGACTCACTTTACGCTGAATACTTATAGCAGATTTTCTAGAGGGGGTGGGGGGGTTCAAGGTATGGACGCAGTTCATCTATTAATAAATTGACAAGAGCTTTTGTTAGTGAATTTTTTGACGAACGCTCTTTCAGTCAATGCTATAAAATAAGTATGATATGTTATTCATATAGGTAATAATAGTTATTAAATATTTAAATAACTAGGAAAATTGAGTAAGTTTTAATTTAACGTACTATCGAATGGATTCTCAGCCACACGAAACCGAATAATATTTATATCATCTTGTCTTTCCTCCATAATTTCCAAATTGTTAATAGCTTGGATGTAATTTAAATTTAAGAAATGTTCCATTTTCGCATAAGTTAGAAGTCAACAAGAGATACACAAAAAAGTTTCACAAGAAAAACAATGATAATAATAATTAGTATGCTAAAATCACGATTAGTGTGGTGGATACCTACACTAATAAGTTAATCTAAAACTTTAGTGCACCAATTCAAAAGTTTTAGTGAACCAATCTTCAAAAATACGGTTTTTTGGTCTTGCACTAATAGTTGAACTAAAATACAATGTTTTAGTGTACTAATATATTTGGCATGCTAAAATAAAATTCAAAAATAGACCCCCAGGAACTAGTAACCAGTAGGTATTATATTTTGTAACCATGATGGTAAATTGTAAAATGTTATTTTTATACTTTATAACGCTATTACAGTCGCGCTGCTGCTGGCTAGTCGTTCACTGATACTCGGTGTTCCGGTGGGAGTGGTGATAGGACACTTTTTTTTCTAGTATTATTGTTTATCTATCTTATTATTATCGATTATGACCGTTATGGGTAGGTATTGTTAAATTGAGATAAAATTTCGTTTTGACTTCTGGTTTTTACTGCTGGGTTTGTAAAATTACCCAGTAGCAGTACATTTAACGAATATTTAAGCATTAATAAGTCGCAAACGGATTACTCAAATTAAATTCTGTAAACGTTTTTTTTAATTTTTGTTATTTAGGTGTTTACTATTCTGTAAACGTTAAAATTATTTTTTTCAGTATGTTTATAGATTTTAGTTATCCAAAATAGGTATTGTCATTTGAAAATCGAAAGTTGGTAGTGTTTCATAAAATAAGGGAGGAAGTTATAATTATCAAAATTGTAACACAATGTAAAATAGTAAAAYCTAGAAAGTTAAAAAAAAAATTATTTTAAAATTCCTTATACTCTCCGAGATATTAACTGGTTCACGATAAAAAAATCCCCCTGTATATAATATATATATATTGAAGTTCAAATTTGGATGAAATAAGGCATTTAAATTGAGGTTTTGTTATGTTAAATTGTTATTCTTMGATATTTACACTTTTAATATATACAATTAATACATCTTATAGACACAATAACATATTATAATGCATCTATTTTGGTAAAATTTAATTTAACTTACCGTATCACTAATGTCTAAAGCAAAATATTTACTTAATAGGAATAATATCATAAAACTTACTGAGTTGGTAATATAGGTTGGAGGGTTTGCTATCTTTGCTCAAAATCGTTTTTCGTATGCAATAATTTTATAAAATTTAATTGAACTCAACCTACCAGCTATTTTCAAATATGAAAATATTATTGTTCGATCTAATCCCAGTAAATTAAAAACATAGTTATCAATTTATAAAAACCGTCAAACATATTCATTACAAATGATGTACTAAATATTTGGATAGAGATTTTCAAGAATTTCTTAGTTAGGGGGGGGGGCATAGACAAGTAACATTAATACATTTTTAAGCTTTAGCTAAAAAACAATATCATAAGTAACTATTAATTTTTAATTATATAATAATTTGCAAATATTCTTGATTTGGTCAACTTTTAAATTTAAAATGAATATGAAAAATATGGTACGTGTAGAATTTAAATATTTCTAAACTTGTATTGAAATTGTTATAAATAATATTTTAAAATATAATTAAATCTACAATAATTAATTTTTTAGTATTTAAAAAAAAAAAATACTTATAAAATATTATAATGATTTTTAATAATCTTTTTAGATTATAATACGCGGACCTTGAATATGTTGATTAAAGTAATAATTTTTCTTGCCATTTTATTTGATACTGGTGAAATAAAATTGACTGACGTTCCAGATTTTAGTATTAACAGATTATTACTTAAAATATTTTTTGTAGCATTACCTTACAATGATTGGTGCTATTGTATCGATCCCATTTATTTTAACGCCAGCTCTATGCATGAAGGAAGATGATCCTGCCCGAGGTCATATTATATCAACTATGATATTTGTAACAGCTATAGTGACGTTTATACAAGTTACATTTGGTTGCAGGTATGTATATGTTTTTATACTTAGCTGTATTAGCCGTCATTCAGCCATTCGTTCAATAAAAATAGAACGCTGTAATGTCTTTTATGAATCAAGTTGATTTTGTTGTGTTACAAAATATAATGATAACTTTGTTCCCTGGTGGTTTTTTGTATGACAAAACTGCCCACCTACTTGAAATATGCTTATTGACTACATTGTCATATTTCGTTTTTAAGTCTTCTTATATAATTACAGATATAATACATTACTTTAAATTGCAAAGTAAACAACTCTCTATGAATGTGAACTTTAATAATAATGATTATCTTAAAATGGCTTATTAATATTTCAATGAATAACGGTATTCATCAACGAAGGCCATAATAATATTATATATAATACTAATTCATAATGGTTTAAGCTTAATCAGTATTTGATATTTAAAACCATCATATAACTAGTTAATCACATTATTTTATCGATCAATTAGCTACCTACATGGTGTTTTATTAATTAATATAACAATAGTTATAGGTTAGGTATAATTACATATTATGATGTTTTGGTTATTACGATTCCGTAAGCCTTAAAGTAAAGATAATTAAGGTATCATAGTATTTGTTATAAGCCGTTTGTATTGTTTGAATAATATTACTTTAATAATTTAATCATAAATCATTTTTAATTTATTTGAAACTGCACTGTTGCATCAACGCACCTAACCGTATACCTATACAGGTGTCTCAGAAAGATCCGAAAAAAATATTATGCAAGACGCCAGACAAAAATTGTTAATATTATATGATAATTAAATAATTAAAGAAGTATTCTCATAATAGCAAATTCTCAAAAATTATATTTTTAATAAAGTTATTGAGATCCTAATTAATTTAACCAAAAAAATATTGAATTTTAAAAAAATTCTAAAAAATAAACTACTTGACTTAGATAAATCTTTTTACCATTAAAATTGTTCTTGTATAATCACATTTACAAATAGCTATTTTGAATTTATCCAAAAAAATTTTTATCAGTTTTCACCATAAAAAAATAAAAAATAATTCTAAAAATGTAGCGCAAGTGTATTCAAATAATATTGGGAAAAAAATTTAATATTGAATACAACAAAAGTTATTCCATATGTCAGATTATCGTGAGACACTATGTATATTGTATATAGCTTGTAAAACAAATTTTTATTTTGGTCAAACCTTGTTACTATACGTACTAGTTTTGACTTAAGCGTACCGATGTCCCAATAAAATGTTTCGGGGCACAAATTTTTCAAGAATTAAACTTCAATAATTAAATAGTTAACATATTATTGTCTTTTTCTAAATATTTTTAGTTCAAAATCAATATTGTTTTGAAATGAAATAAAATAATCAATTACTTTATTTGATTGACCGATGAAATCTATTTTTTAATTATAAATTATTTTCWGACTTGATGACAATAATTCGTTGTTTCCCAGTTCTAACTTCCAAATTGTAATCATTTATGTTATTCGATAATTAAGTGAGGGGGTCTGCCTCAAACATTCCCCAAATACATTACATTAATTGATTATAAATGTAATATAAATTTCAATTGATATTATATTTTATTATTATATTATTAAAAAACAAATAATAAATAAAGTGGTATTGAGGTTGAACATTAAAATATTAACATGTTAATAACTATTATTTTAAGTTAAATTTTCTAAAAACATAAGTGAAAATATCATGGTTAAATGATTTTTATACATAACTCTTAAATCTTTAGGGCMCATCGGATCATATTACTTAGTTCATGTAACTGTACCAGACACCAGTGGTTTAGTAACAGGACTAAATATTGTACTATTTAACCCTACGTTAGGCGCGTCGACATTTGWTATGTGGTTGGGCGCGTGCGGGACAGTTGTCAACCATAAATAAATTATTGATTAAAATTWGAAATATTTATAATTAATTCCTTTTTTTATTATTAAACGTCAAAATTTACATTATTTATTTATAATTATTTTATTACTTATGATTAGAAAGATATAAATAGCTTATACATTTTTTTTTTAAAGTACACAACTTTCACATATGTCTTTTAAATGGTCACCGCACCTCCACTTCTTACACTTACAACACCACCWTCTGGTAGTTTTATCACGTGCTCGTCCACAATCATAACAYCGACCTCTGGATCCATCTGGTCTTTTTGTCTCTATAGCTACCGACCTACCGTATCCTTTTCTCCTAAGATCAAGAGATCTGTGAGAGAATTGTGTATTGTTGTTAGTGAGGAGAAGGAGGTTCCCCAATTGGTATGAGCTAGCATTTTCATTATATTTATTCTTGATGCACAGGTTTTAAAAAATATTTTTTGTTTGTGGGATCCAAGAGTTTTTTGAGTCAAAAATTATGCCTAAGACTTCAGCTGTTTTGATTATGAATTTTATTATTGTTCATGAAGAGTTTTAGTTCCTTTTATTTTATTTTATGGGTAAATGTTATACATTGGAATTTTCCTACCGAAAAATTGAATCCAGATTTTTGGGACCATTTGTGTAGAACATTTAATGATTTTTGCCGCAATTATTGCACGGTAGAAAGTTCATTACTCCGACAAAAAATATTTAAGTCGTCAGCATAAAGTGTACACTTGACGGGATTATATATTGATTTTGTAATATCATTAATAGAGATAGGAAAAAGTGTAACCTATAATGTTGACCCCTGTGGGACTCCGTTTTGTTGATAAAATATCGGAGAGAGTGTATTGTTGACTTGAAAGGTTCTGTTGGAGAGGAAGTTTGTGAAAACTTAAACATGTTTCCTTGACATAGGATTTTTTGGAGTTTCGATATGATGTTAGGTCTCCAGGCAGTATCATAAGCTTTAGCTATGTCAAGACACACCATTCCGAGGGTTTTAATTATTTTTCGTTGCGTTTTCAATCTCAGATTGGATTTTTATTAATGAAAAGTTGGTTCCGCGTTGATATCTAAAACCATTTTGGTCTGGGTTTAGATAGTTAATTCGTTCGATGAATCACATAAGCCTAAGGTTGATAACTTTTTCCATGAGTTTACACATTGTGTTAACACTTTCAACGTCGCTCGTGATTTCGGCAATTACACCGCGACGCCGCGTTGTTTATCCCGTGACAGAATCCTAAACATAGAGGTGGATTCTGTGGACAGAGAGAACAGTAGTATGATCATAGAACATAATAGAAGCGACAGCTATCAAAATCCCATTGATCACCGAAAAATATTTCTGTTGACCTTGAGCTGGAGGCTCGACATGACGTWGGCAGCGGATGACCGGTATGATGTTGTAACCGTATCGCAATGCTTAATGTATTTCCTAATTTTTAAAAATTTAAATTATCAATATCACAGAAATAAATGATAACAGTTGAAACATGCTACAGATTTTAAATTACAATACGGTTACAACACCATGCCGAGCCTCCGCTGCCAACTTCATGTTGAACCTCCGGCAAAATGAAAACAAATCGATCAGCTGTTTGACTGTCGCTTCTATTAGTTCTATTATGTTATATGGTATGATGTATCTTTGCGTTTGCCAATTTCTTTACAGTATAACTACATCGTTTGCATTGAACTTTTGTCGAATTTTTGCTTTTTTGGTAAGAGTTGTAGAGTATGTACAAATGGAACTGCAGTCGGTAATTTAGTCGTAATTTCATATTGTTTTTCTCTAAGTTCACCAGTTTTATCATTTTTTTTTTTAACAGTGAACGTATGATATTCAGCCGAAAATTATAAAAAGGTATTTTACGTTCATTTTGACAATATAAAAGATAAGAATTGAGAAGTAGCTGTTGTAAAATGTGAATACCAACTTTCTTGTACCATCGAAGAGTTTTTCATTCACACGKGTAGTAGAACATCAGTTGGTCTTGACGATCTACACCTGATATATAATCATTATATTTTATTATTGGCAATGTTTTTTTTCTTTTCTCCACGTTTATTTTGTGTATCTGCAGTCCATTCTGTTGATATACCCAAAACATCCATTTTGTCCTTCCATTTGAAGACATAGATCCCGTTGTATGAATACTTCGATATATTTTCTCCTTTTTAAATTTTTTTTTTAACAATGTCGCGGTCGCTTGGATGTTTTTCCTATTTGAACGTAATGTGCCGATACAATAAGTATTTTTTGAAATAAGTGTTTGAGCTAAATTTACGCTATTTAGTAATTGTCCATGTGAAGCGAAGGGACCTTTGAAAAATTTTCCTTCCATTAGGTTTATAACTACGTTTTCTTTCCTGACAAGACATAGCTAATGTATCAGCGATCGTTTGAGGGTCTGATATCAGCGAGTTATTCCCAACGAGATAGAATTTTTTGTCTCTGCTTATACCCTTTAAGGTACGCATTTTGTTCCAGGTTTTTTTTTAATCCGTCTGGGTAAATATATAAAATTTAGATGAGCGGAGTAGTGGACAAATATGTCGCGGGGTAACCCCKTACCACTCTACTCCGCTCATCTAAACTTTAAATACCTATATCTCGTAAACTACTCGCCCTAAATTCAATTTTTATGTTTCGAAATACTTAGAAAAATATTCTGTTTTGGAATATCAAATTAAAACGACATGTTGTCATTCAAAAAAGTAAAAAACTTAAAAAATTATAGGGATAAAAAATGTTAAAAATATAATTTTTTAATAAAAACGTTGTTTTGTAAACGAATTGAAGCTATGTAAATTATATTTTCAAAAACATTCACACTTTTTGATATAATGAGTGTTTTACGCTTCATAAATCACCCCGTATATGGTTATATAAGTATGGAAATGCGGTCGCTACTACATATTTGTGGGATGACTTCCCATCCAAACTGATGCGATAACGATGTGTTAGAAAATCGGTAGCAGAGAAGCGACCGTTTACTGGGTTGAATCTTGTGAGATCGCCATTGCTGAGGATTATTATATTATTATTATCTAAAACTTTTTCTATGATTTTCCTTCTATCATCTGTTTTATCTGAACCCCATAGCTC